GAAAGCTCAGAATAAAAATATCGTTCCAGAGATCGCGTCTTCGTCTTCTTTATTTTACAAAATGTTTCCTCAAGTCCCACTTTTTTCAGTTCTTCACGTTTAAAGGTTGTGGGATAGCCCTCTGTGAACCACTGTTTACGTTCACATACTTGCCTTTCGCTCAAGCACTGGACTAAGCTGATTTACTTCTATAGTGTGTATTTAACCAGGAAGCATTTGGATCATTTAGTACGTTGGGAGGTTCAACAATGTGAGCTTTAGAATTGAATAATAATTTGAAACTCTGATAATCATGACTTGTATGCCTGCCTAAAGAGGACGCAGGAGTAAGATCATCTCGTCCATTGAAAATGGGTGATCTTACAATGGATTTCAGGAAGCCCAAATATTCCTGTCTCTTAACCCGAACATAAAACTGAACTGTATGCTAAATATTAGCCCTAGTCCTACCCTAAATCCCTACAGTTATTACAAACCTAGACACTAACGCTACCTTTGACCTTAACCCTAGACCTAACCCAAAACCAAATCTATTGCGGGTGGTTCCTGTTCCCGGGTTCTGTTTGAGTGGCCGCTTAAGTCATCCTTACCGAAGCTTTTTAATAAAAGGTGGTCTTGACTCGTATAGAAAAATGATCTTTTCCCTTAAGCTTTTGAACGCCAGTTATTTTTAATGGATAAACTGTTGGCGTGGTTGTGAAAGGGTCGCTTTATCGTGAATCTCCCAATTTCCTCTATATCGCTGTCTGTAATCGAACGTTCAAACACTAATGCAGGACGGACATTTTTTTTATCGTCGCCGAAACGTTGATTGATCTTCTTTAGTTGTGTCACAAGCACTGCAGTTTCGGTCGTAACAATGTGCTTGGTATGATTATAGTAGGAAACGTAAAGGAGTCCGGCTCATTTCTTTGTCTAGGGGACAAAAATAGAGTATCTTTGTTTTCTTTTTCCTCTGGCTGGCTCAACAAGAAATTAAGTCTCCGAAGTCGTTCATGCAAACACTGCTGCTACCTTTTTTCGCTGTGTGCGCAGTGTCTTTTGTTTTTATTGTAAGTGCGAAAGGGACCAGACTAGCTCTAAGTTCTATGCGCATATACTGGTTAGCATTTCAGTCTCTGGTTACCTCTTCCTGCTTTATAAACACCCTCTGCTGTTGTCTCTTTTTTCAGCATGCCTATTGGTCGTGGGTTTGTTCGGCCAGATTCCCCATCTTCTATCCTCTGGCCATGCTGCCAACACCAGCTGCCCTGTTGGACGCCGTTTCCGGTGCGGAGGGTGAAGAAGACGGACAGTCGGGAGTCTCTTCTACCTCCACCACCAATCCCGAATCTCAGATGCACCCCACACCTTCACAATCGCCATCCCCTCTACCTCGAAATTCCTTAACCCGCCTAAAGGAAATCCCTTCCGAACCTCCCGATAGCAGACAACACCCGTCTTCTCTGACTTACCGGCTAATTAAGATCCCAGCCTGTCAAACCTGGTGCACTGACGTTGAAACTCTCTGTCCCTACCTGAACCCCAGCGACTCAACCTCCAATGGGGGTGAGCCTATCATCCTCTGTGACGGTTAGTTCCCCCGATGCCCACTCACACGCCTTGCTCTCTCTCTCTCTCTCTCTCCCGTGTTATCCTTTCTCTTAATATACTCACTCATGCAAGGATCCGCGCATTCATCTGGGCTGTCATGCAGCGCCGGTCCTCTGCAAAATGCATCTAACAGTTAATAAGTTGACAAAGATCGTTGAACCCAGTTTATTGTTTTTAGGACATTTTAAGCAGTCGAATCTGCTAAATATAATCCACAAACTAAAAACGGTCTACCGTTATTGAGTGACCGCAATTTGCCTTCTGACGTGTCATGTGATATGTCTGTTAACTGTTCAGATTGCCGGCGCGTGGCCGTTCATTATTTTTGCATATAAGGGATGTGCCTGTGCAAGAAAATGGAGTAGGAACACCTATCGTGTTAACTGCCGGTACATTTGGAAGTACTGTACCTTCAAGAAGCCTCCAGCTTGCTATGAGAAAGTAGTTTTCGTCGTCAGCTAACCGCTTGAATCTGCCAAGCATTGTAAACTATCAAAAACGAATTTTACGGGTCCGTAGATGACTGTTCAAAGCTTGATTTACAAGTGGGAGGGAGTCGATTTCCCGTTTAATCAAGTATCTATCAAAATTTCCAGTCCCATCCGCTCCACGGTTCGTTCCCCAGCGCGTCTGAGCCATTATCTCTCCGTTAGACATGACCTGATTCGAGAGTGTAGGCTGTAGTTTGGAACAAGTGATCTCCCCAGTTGCATTTAGTCTTTGTGTTCTGGTATTTGTGACCATCAGTTTGTTTTTAGTTCCGACCTGTATGGGTGCAAGGACAATTTCGGCATCAGTCACTGGTTTTAAAAACTTCTTGATAGCCATTTCGCATAAACTGGCAGGAATCGAGGACCTCTTGTATTCATATCGTCGGTGTGATGCAGCCGATCAGAGTCCGTTTGAGTAGTATCTGCACTGAATGACTGCTGAGGAAGTTAGAAAGCTGTATTTGCTTAACTGCCCTCATACAAACCATTAGTATTTCGTCTGAAAATCACACCAAGGATCCTCACAAATTGTGCGTTGTCAACGCTTGAGTGTAGCAGCTGTGGACGATAATACAATTTCTGGGACATGAAGTTTCTTAGCCCGCCTTTTCGGATTCTCACTCGAATCCATCATCAGGGGCAGTCGCAGACGAGAGTAGTAAGGACACAAGAAGTGTAATATTTATATTACATCTTTGCCGTGCAATCACATACATACTATAATTAGAAGTGCTCCCGATCACCGCTGTGGGTCGTAAATGATATGGTGATGATTTGACAGTCCCCGTCCGAATATTTAATTGTTGTGATTTCATCATGCACGTTGGAGGTTGGATTGAGCTTTACGCAGCCATTTGACTTGCTACCGGTAGAATTGTCGGTCGCCCGCGCCCTCCCTGCATGACTGATTCCTCTGCTTCGGTGAAGTCTCAATACATAATATGGGAACGGCAAGTCATTGCGCTTGCTGATGTACTGCGGGCCTGAAAACCCTGACTCAATCAGCTCGCGGCTCGTGTAGTTGCCACGTCTTGCGGGAATTTTGAGAGACTTCAAATATGTCTGAATCCCCTTGAAAGAGCCGCAACCTGAGAATAATCGTCATTCTTCTTCACTGCTTCTGCGTGCTCGGATATTTGCGTCCAGAGTTGCCTCCTAGCTTCTCCAATTTAGTTGTTCGGTCCGTAACTTCACCGGCTCCAGCAAACTACTCCATTCGTTTCGTGCCAGTGAAGTCCTTCAGCCTCGTGACCTGGTGCCTGCTGGTTTCCTCCGGTCTCTGTAGAACCCAAATTCCAAGTCGAGGAAGAGGGCAGTTGACGGCCATTGAGGCGTTTTGACGTACGAACTCGCTCGCCAAAATTTGAGGTCGGTGCGGTCTTGTCGCTCGTCTCGTTTACGCGTGCACCAATGGACGAAGTAGGACGGGCAGCCATTTTTTTTGCACAACCGTCAAATATATTGCAGTTCGGCAACCTTGTTGTCCGGTACACTGCAGTGCGCCTCAAAACGCCTAGGCAAAGTCCTTACGCAACTGCGTTTGTGGCTGATTCGATTGTGGCTGTTTAGGTAAATTACTTGCGTAATATTTTTTCGCTTTCGTGAACATGTTGATTTTTAGGCAAACATAATCCTTGTGGCTAACGTGAGCATACAGAAAGCTAGTTGGCTGTTTGCTTCCTCCCCGTAATTTGAATGTCCCGCAAGACGGTGTTGAGACGTTCTTTGAACATAAGCACCTCATCCCGAGCAATGACAACGAAGTTATCATCCACATACCGAGCCCCAAATTTCGGTTTCTAGTCTCGGAAAACCAGTAAGTCCAACCCTCGCATGATCGTCTCGACTATGACAGATTAAAATGAGAAAGCGGAACTTGCGGCCCATAAATTTTCTTTTCCAGTGGTCACATCTTCCGAACTCCTTCCGGGAAATTGTGTTTTCGCCTCTATCAGCAATTATTTATCTTCTGTTGGCTAGTACCCAATACCAGCTCTAACTTGCCTACAGCGATTTTAGTCAGGAAGAAAAATTGCGTCAATTTTTTAAAGCTGAGGAGCCATCCGAATTGGTGGTAGCTGTGTCAGCAGAACGTTGGGACAATACACTGTACTAGAAGAACAATACCTACGATATGTTTCGTTCACAAATCTTCCGCACTTTTTTGATGGGTCTCAGTCTCATATTCATCAAGTGTTAGTATTTATCGGGGAAATTCCGATAAAGGCGATAGGGCCTGTGATGGAGTCTTCCGTCATCAGCCAGGTCTACGCCAAGTCCAGGCCCGTGAGATCTGCAATTAGAATTCTACGGCAAAGCGGCTAGTTATATTTCTTCCGGCACTCGAATCTGTAAAGTCTTATCTCCTCCAAACTACATTTTCGGGAGCCTTTTCGCGTCGATTAGTCCATGAAAACTGGCTGTGATGTTTATTATAAAGGAAAGTTGCCCTCCAGTAATCCCTGTCTTTCAAGAACCAACCCTCAGAACGTGTTTTCTGCTTCCTTCGGCCGACATTTCCTTTTCAAAATACTCCTTTTTCACCATCTTTCATCAATATGTTGTTATGACACTTAACTGAACTGTAAAATCTTTTGACTATCTGTATTCAAGGGGTCTTCTTTATTCTTTCAGAGAGTCACTATTACCGCCAGCCCATGGAAGGCAACACCCGGAAGTATGGTTGTGAACATGACTGCTGTTTTTCTAATGCAGATCTGCTCTATGATTCTATCGTCGATTCAGCGCAGAGCCCTCCTGACCCTGATCCGGACAGGCGAGCAACAGCAGCGGCAGAGGAAGAAACTCAAAATGAGGCAGTAGATGGCGTGTGTTTCAGCCTCACAGCACGCTGTTTTCATGACCATCTGTCTAGAAGCTTGGCCTCTGGTAGTGGCAGCGGCGGCGGCGGTCAGAGCAACTACGGCGCTAACAATTCGTCGTCCTCCTCCTCGTCGCTCCTTCGCCTACAAGACTGGCCGGATTATGCC